AGTTGGTAATTTAGCATACAGTCAAGTGGTTGGCTTTCTTTCTCGTCAACTCCCTTCGTGACACGATCCCCTTTCAACAAACAAACGTTCAGTCCAGATTCCTTCAGTTTTGATACTTGATCTTGTATCAATGCAGTCAAAGGCGATATGACAATTACAGTACGCTTAGTAGTATTAATTAAAAGATTGATGTTATAACTAGATAAAAAATCCATAACTGGAGGTAAAACTTGGTAAATCAAAGACTTCCCATATCCAGTTGGGAGAATAGCTAAGACGTCTTTTTCTTTAAGACAAATGGCTTCTAGTACTTGGTATTGCTTTTCTTTTAAGTTTAAATCTCCTTTTCCAATTACTAAAAAAAAAATCYATAACTGGAGGTAAAACTTGGTAAATCAAAGACTTCTCATATCCAGTTGGGAGAATAGCTAAGACGTCTTTTTCTTTAAGACAAATGGCTTCTAGTACTTGGTATTGCTTTTCTTTTAACTTTAAATCTCCTTTTCCAATTATTTTTAGTCCGTAATCCAATGCATCACGAAATAAATCGAATTCTTGACGCCTGGCCGCCATTTTTAGAATTTTGTTTGAGCATGCGCAGTTGAAACTTCCGGTCCGAGATTCACGGACCGGAAGCTCGCATAAAATCGGCTGCAACAAGAGCCTCTCGTTTCTCGGTGCTGACCATGAGGAACGTGGGCTCTGGGTACGAGATTGATCCATGCGTCTATCCAAGCATGCATCCATCCACTCCCATCATTTATCTATTTACACCCATCTATCCATTCATTCGTTCATCCATCCATCCATTCATTCATCCATCCATATACCCAACCACCTTCATCAACTCTATCCATCTGAATGCACTCATTCCAGCATCATCCGCTTGTCTGTGTTTTATGAATGTCTTAATGTCTTTGCAGACAATTTCACTAATATACGTGGAGTATTGTATGAATTATGGAACATGTACACCACGTCTAACAAGAGCTCAGTTTTGAAGTTTAATGATGTGTTTAGTGGTTCTCCCAATATATCCAGTGTTTCACCATCCTTTAGCATAACTGCGTTTTCTGGTCTGTCAAACTACAGTCTACGAGGGCAAGGTTATGTGATGGTAAGACTTGAAAACTCTTTTCACTTAGTTAACCACCATGGATCGGATAACCAGGTGTTTCTTGTAATTTGATCTTTTTTATTGTCCATGCCTTATATCAGTGCTCTTCAATGTAATCCTAAGTCGCTAATGGTAAACTTATCCTAAATCATCAGGTTGCAATGTCAAGACTTTACTTTATCGCAGCTTCATGTGATGATGAATGTGAAATATGGCTAAGAAGAGCTGAAGAACCAGGACTGGGTGATAATGAAAGAGCTGATCACGAGCTGTTGATTAAAATTGAGTCACCTACGTATCCCACCGGATATAAATTGTAAGATTATTATTTTCAGTTTTGCTTCTTGGTTGCTAGCTTATTTGTTTGTTTGTTTGT